TTCAGTGTTACATGATCCTTCAGAAACCATTCTATTGAACATAAACATTCATTACTATTAGTTGAAAATGTGAAAATGGCTGATACTTAATAAAACTGCATTAGTGGTTGTCACACTTACAGTGTTGAGGAAAGCACTCGAAGAGGAAAATGAAGAGTAAATAGTCTTTAATTAATCCACACAGAGGAAGGCAGTAACACACGGACCAAGACAAACTGAACAAACTAGAGCTTTAGTAGACAGACCAATGAGGGACAAATGAGTAAATTAACTAGACACAGGTGAACTGAATAACATAATCAAGGGGAGACAGAAACTAGGTCAAGGAACATGAGGAGAGTTAACACAACAAAGTCCATAAATGTGACAGTGGTATTTTTCAGAATTAAGTTTGAAGAACAGCATTTATTCGAAATAGAAATCTTTTGTAACATTAAATGTCTTTACTGAGATTTTTGATCAATTTAATGCCTCCTTTTTCAATATCTTTAAAAAAAAAAACTTACTGACCCAAACCTTTGAATGGTAGTTTGTATGACATCTATTTATATAATATTGCTTTTTTGTTTGTTAAAATATGGTTTTCTGGTATTAAAAAATATTTTTACACCGGGGTGGCGTTTGCACTGACGGCTTGGGCCCGACATCGCTGCTTGCAGCTATATTCTTTTTTTCTTCTTACTTTCTGAACTTCCTCGAATTTGAAGTGAACTCATACTTCAATGCTTTAAAAAAAATTACAACTCACCATTGACAATTGTGCTGCAACTCTTGCTGCCACAAGTGCAGTGGGCTGGGGCTGGGGGTCAGGCTGACTCTGCTCCATGGCCTTCTTTGCTGTTCCAGCAGCAGCAGAAGGTTATTGTGCTGCAACTCTTGCTGCCACAGGAGCAGTAGGCTGGGGCTGGGGGTCAGTCTGACTCTGCTCCATGGCCTTCTTTGTTGTTCCAGCAGCAGCAGGTTGTTCCACCACCCTTTGTGCTGGTCCAGTAGGGCTGGCAGTGGGCTCTTTAAGACAACAACAAAAAACACATATAACAATTCAGAAAGAAAACCATTTCAGTAAATAATACTAACAAACACCATTGACAATTGTGCTGCAACTCTTGCTGCCACAAGTGCAGTGGGCTGGGGCTGGGGGTCAGGCTGACTCTGCTCCATGGCCTTCTTTGCTGTTCCAGCAGCAGCAGAAGGTTGTTCCACCACCCTTTGTGCTGGTCCAGTAGGGCTGGCAGTGGGCTCTTTAAGACAACAACAAAAAACACATATAACAATTCAGAAAGAAAACCATTTCAGTAATTAATACTAACAAAAAATACTTGCTACATTAATGTTACCTTTGGAGTGTGAAAACCACAGATGCATTTCAGCACACCTCCAAGCAAGTTTGTCTGGCCATGAGACAGCATCGGACATTTCTCAATCTGTAAGCATTATAACAAATGTAATGCACAATACAAGTGAGTCCCTTAACAGACCATACAATACTTCATTAAATTCATATATTAATTAATTAATTGATTCATTTCTAGGAGTCACTATTTATCTTATATATAATGTTACAGCTGGTATCTCTCTTTAAATGAGAGAGAAACAATAGAGGAACATTTCATACCTTCAAACCACCTATTCATTCACCATCCCTTCCCCCACCTTCTCAAATCTCTGAATCTCCCAGTACACAAAAATCTTAAATGTAGCTTTTCATTAACAGTATGACATAAATCTCAAAATACCTGCAACATTACATAAATGTCTATAACAATTACACACTGTGGTTTACATTGGTGTAAGCCATAACATAACACAACCCTCACATTACATTGTTCTAATGAATGGGATCAGTTACATGTTTGTACTGAAGCCTAATGTTTTGTTCTGTTATGCAAATACATTAAACAAAGATACTAATAATGTTCGATTATGTAAGTCAACAAACACTTAAGTCTTTTTTTGTTTCTCCATCATGCAAAGGTAACAAACACTCACTCACCCTTTGATAAATCTCGTACCACTTCTTCTGTCGAGGAGCTGGCCTGTTACCCTCATTTGATGGCCAAATGTCCCCTGGCCATCAAATGAAATCCCCCTGTACTCTGATTGGTCAAATGTCACGAATGTTAAGAAAATGTTAAGAATCGCGCTTTTCGATTGGCTGGAAATGTTATAGCGCTTCGACGCGATTGGCCCAAATGTCATAGCGCTTCGACGCGATTGGCTGTGCAGTTCGACATTGCTCGACATTTCTGAAATATTGTCGGACTATCCTTCGTCAGCTGGCGGTTTTCACCCAGGCGGCCCGGGTTTGACTCCCGGTATGGGAAGGTGGGCTCCTTTTTGCTTCCCTCCTCAAAAAGCCAGTACGTCTTCCTGCACCAGACGTGATTTTTGTCCAGCAGTAGAGCTACAGAACCCTGATAGATTGAGGTTCTGACTTGCACCTCATGCCTTCGATAGCTCAGCTGGTAGAGTGGAGAAAGGTAGGTAGAAGTGTTGGCAATCCTTAGGACGCTGGTTCAACTCCGGCTCGAAGGAGTTCTGTTTTCAAGCGCACACCTTTTTTTTTGTTTGGCTGAGTTTCTCGCATCAGCAAGCAGAGATTCAATTGACAGTCCACCGTTGGAAGGCAAAACAGCATTTCCTGAACGGGAATCGAACCCAGGCCACAGCGGTGAGAGCACCGAATCCTAACCACTAGACCACAAGAGAAGGGCTGGGGTGAGCTGTTGGGCTTGTGGGCTGCACTACTGATAACAGCATGAGAGTAAGCAGACAGCAATTCTGGCCTCTGTCATGTCAAAAACCAACAAGTCTGGTGCAATCTAGAAGCACTTTTGTCAGTGGGCAAGTGGCACAATGAATAACGTGTCTGACTACGGCTCAGAAGATTTTAGGTTCGACTCCTGGCTGGCTCACTCTGTATTTACTTTTCTCAGGCTGTTTTTGTAATTATTTTTTCTTTTTATATTTTGAAAAGTCCAGAAGAAAAGGCAAATCTCAACGCGTCTGACTATGCATCAGAAGATTCTAGGTTCGACTCCTCGCTGGTTCGCTCTTTGTTTACTTTTCTCAGGCTGTATTTGTAATTGTTTTTTTTTTCCCGAAAAGTCCAGAAGAACAGGCAAATCTCCATGCACGTGTCTTTTATTCCACAAAAGCCGTATGTTGCACACCCGTTCCAATGTCTATGGGAGGCGCGCACATGCTTCGTGATTGCCTTTTCAAATGCATGACGTGGGTATTTTCACCTGGACAAGACTTTAATTACCAGTTCGAGGTATCTATTCAGCAATCACAGGAATCTGCCAAAAAAACTGAACCCCTTGGGCGAGTCAAACAACAGATTCCTTGAATGCATGCAACACGATTTAATTCAGTCACACACCAAAAGCTACAGGCCACTCCAAAACCCTGCCCCCACACTGGCCACACATATGAAAAGTGGCCCAC